ACATGAGGAAGAACTTCTTTACTTTGAGGGTGGCAGAGCCCTGGAAGAGGCTGCCCAGGGAGGTGGTGGAGTCTCCTTCTCTGGAGGCATTCAAACCCACCTGGATACATTCCTGTGCAACCTGGTCTCAACGGACTTGCCCTGGCAGGGAGGTGGATTAGATGATCTCCAGAAGTCCTTTCCAACCCCATGTCATTCTGTGATCCTGTAATTCTATAAAGAGAGCAGAAAAACATACTGTTAATAGCACATGGAGATTACATAAAAGAAGAAAAAAAAAAAGGAAATCGGTGGGCAGCTGAAGCCCAGTGGACTAAATTTGGATATAATAGTCCTTAAACTATTCTGGAGATGGTTTTCAGTATTTTGACCCTTGCACGTTGTTTTTGGTATATTGCAGGAGATTTTTCATATATATGTATGCGTGTGTCTTTTTTATTTATATATATGATATATATATTCCCATATACACACAAATATATGTATGTCTATATATATGTATATATATTCTGTAACTGGGGAGAATTACTCTTGCACTTCTCACACTGAACTGAGCTAGCCTGAATCAAATTAACTTCAGTATGTAAATAGGAAGCCACAGATTCCAGATATTAATTTAAAGCAATTGAACAGGAGAAATTCTGCCCTTGTCACCCTGAATAGATAAATTTAACCCAGTGCATCTGTCTAAAGTTGCTGTATTCACACATGTGAGTTCATTGTAAACGTCCAGTTTTGAGCCCCCTACCATAAAAAAGACATTGAGGTGCTGGAGTGGGTCCAGAGAAGGGCGACAAAGATGGTGAGGGGTCTGGAGAATAAGTCTTATGAGGAGAGGCTGAGGGAACTGGGGTTATTCAGCCTGGAGAAGAGGAGGCTGAGGGGAGACCTTATTGCTCTCTACAACTACCTGAAAGGAGGGTGTAGAGAGATGGGGGTCGGTCTCTTTTCTCAAGTCACAGGCGACAGGACAAGAGGAAATGGCCTCAAGTTACGCCAGGGGTGGTTCAGGCTGGATATTAGGAAAAATTTTTTCACTGAAAGGGTTATCAGACACTGGAATGGGCTGCCCAGGGAGGTGGTTGAGGCACCATCCCTGGAGGTGTTCAAAAGACAGGTTGATGTGGTGCTGGGAGATATGGTTTAGTGATGATGCTCCTTGTTTGTTGTGTGGGTGTCTATTTTTGTCAGTGAGGTTGACGGTTGGACAAGATGATCTTTAAGGTCCCTTCCAACCTAGAAGATTCTGTGATTCTGACAGCCACATCCTTTCCTGATTCATATTTTTTACCATTAATCCTGTAGTATCTGGAGTAGAGAAGTGAATAGATATATATGCCTCTTTTAAAAATTTTGGAAATATTGTGAGATGAGAAGGGTAAAGTATTCACTTATTATTGTATACATATTTTGTACATATTGTGTACATATTTTTGTGCTCATTAGTCTGTTTAAACAGTGAGGTATGATTTGAAAGCAAAAATTCTTACATTTAAGACTCGGACTTTCAAGGAAATGTTGACCTAGGTTAATCACATGTTAATGGTATTGGATATATTAAATCATGACAAATTGGCAGAAGTGTGAGTATTTAATTAAAAGCTATAGAATTATTTTATCTCCTGGGAAGGTGACAATATGTAGAATACAGCTCTGTAATACAAAATAAAGCATCAAAACTTAAGTAATGGCAAAGGAAAACACAATGCAAAAATGCATGGAAAACCTTCAAAAATAGCAAGTTAAAATGAGATTCATCATCTGATAATTGGCTGTATCATTCTCCATGCAAGTCACCCAAGATGAAGTGGTACTGGGGAGCCTTATTAGACTGTTTCACTAAGGAAAACTTGGTTTGTATCTACAAATTAATAAGGACACCACTTTGTAAAGATAGTCAGAGCCAGTGTCTCCAACTAACAAAAACAGAAACACACCCACTTAATGCACTAATAGCCGGTGTGAGGTTAGCTGTGGGTCACATTGCCATTGTGTGCGGTGCCGTCTGACACAGGGCTGTGAATTACTGCACTCAAAACATCATGAGGCAGGACAGAGGAGTGTGGGGGCAGCACTCACATTCCAGCTACAGAACAGACAAATAACACTGGGGTTTTTATGAGGAAAGAGAAGAACTACAGCACAACAGGAACAACCCAGGAATCCTCAGAATAACAGAATGTAAAGGAATGCACTGAAAAGTCACGACATAGAGCCCTGCTCTCTTTTGCCTTCTCAGAGGCCACCTGAACACCTCACAGACACAAGTTTTAACGTGATTTTTTTTTGTCTGTGCAAAAACAATTGTTGTATACACTATTTTTTTCATGTGAAACAGTTTTGAGATAACTTTCAGAAAAATATTTATTTACAAATTGTTTAGAAACTGCAGCATTTTCTGTACTTTTTGGTTGTTCAAGTTGGAAGATAATAAGAAATATTAACAAATATCTTAATACACAGATTTTGTTTCTCCTAATATCATATGTAACTGCTAGAGGAGATATTACCTGCTCAAAGTAAAAAGGTGGGGAGAAGGGCACAGATTCTTATTAAGGACCAGCTCCACCAGAAGTGCATCATAAGCAGGATCATTCCAGCATATGTCTGAAGTAGTGGAGATGGATATTAACTTCTAATTCATCTGTTTGCATCTCATGATAAATAGGTTGTACCTTTTGCAAGTATTTTTACCTTGGTTTTTGGTAAAAATGCACTTAACCACATGTCAAAGTTTCCACTTTTGATTAACAATACCTTGTCCTTGCCCACAGTGAGTCTCTGTTGCTAAGGGCTCTGAAAGTAGAAAGGCAACAGGCAGTCAAACCAAGTTTGATAAACACATTTCTCCAAACGTGGAGACTTTAATTGCAATTTTAATTCATGAGTTTTCTAGATTCCTGCTTTCTTTTCTATTCACTGCTTCTCCAGGCTCAGACCAAAACCCCCAAACCAAAACAATTCTGATGTTCTCCTTCAGCTTGCTCTTACCTGCAGTTCTCTGATTCTGCTCAGAGGAGGCCTTTTCTTGCAACAAATACACTTATAAAGGAGGGATAGTTTTGATGGGATCCTTCAGTGAGATGAGGTGACTTGTCTAAGCCTAAGTAGGTCCACCATTCGCATATGCTTTGAGTGTCTGTGATATTCCTCTACCACTACTCCACCCCAACTGTTCCCACTGATGTATGCAGGGCAGACAAGTTTGTTCACAGTCTAGCTAGAGGAATAAAATACAAATTCATCGCCTAAAACTTTTTCTGGCAGTGAAAACGATTATTGAAAATAACAGTCATGAACATTAACAATAATTCTCATCTCTATTGATAGTGAAGATTCTTAGAAAATTTATGATAACATTCTTTATTATAATACTTTAGATTATAAATTGTACTATTCTTTCACTTTATTACATTTCTATTGAAGCCTCTTTCCTTTTCTTTGTCACAAAGAGTTAAAATCTCTAAGAGAATTTAAGAGCCTTTCAGTAATTTGGCACATCAGTTCTAGCTCCGCTATTATCTAGCTGCATCAAGATATTAATGTAGTCATCTCTCTTTAGTCTCAATGAATTGCTATAAAAATGTCAAACAATTAGATTATATTGGCCAACATAGCCCTGTTTGATTGAGTACAGATGTAGGCCATGTCCCTTGAATCATACTGATGAAGAAGCAGAAAGGCTTGTAGGACTCCAGTGCAAATTTGTTTCAATATACGTACCATTTAGGTTTCCAATGTCAGTACTTGCAATACTAATAACCAAAAAATGCTAAATAGGTATTTTCAGATGGAATGAAAGTCAATGTCATTCAGGACAAATACAAATGAACTCTGTTGAAGGCGAACCTATAAAAATAGCACAGGAGCCAATATGCTGGTACAAACATACACACTGTTCCATTGCACAGATGTGACTATACCAAAGGAACAAAATCTGAGTATCCGATTCTGGAGTAGGGCCATGAACATCCAAGACTCATATTTTTGGGTGCTGGCAACCAGGGAGATCACATTCTGCATAGACTGAGACAGAGGAACTGAGCCTTGATCTGACTCACACTTCTGGGTTCCAGGGAGAAGCCCACCATCAGGAATAGCTAGGAGATAAAGATCAGGCAAGAACGTGTAATGGAATACAATAGCAAGACTCAAAAAGACTTAGCTAAAGTAAAATGACAGGAGAAAACATTTCCATTTACTTTCACAAGACATAAAACTTGAGGCTGATTGTATATGACGAGAGCACCATTTTACATTTCTCAGACATTGTGAGCGATGCTCTAGCAGGGCAGGTAGAAAAAACTGAATCTGCCTGCTTTCTTGAAAAATCATTTCACAGCACTCTACCTCAGGTAGTGATGAAGGCTGTTCAGGGATGGGAATTTGAGAAGTATTACTGTGCTGGACATGGACAACTGACTGCATGGAAAAGATGGCACAATTCTCTCTCTCTCTGAACTGACTCATGGCGTTTTATGTGGATATCACTGATTTCATAGGTGAGAGCCGCACCACTGACCTTGCAGCTCCCCTGTGGCTCGGGGATGAGATGTACATTCTGTCTAACCCCAGGCTACAAACTAACACAAAGCCGTGATGCACATAAAGAACAACAAAAGGGAGAGACAAAATTTCTAGGCAGCAAAAAGATTTAGACAAACTGAAAGTATTATCTGTAGACACTATGAATCTTTTTATTTATAAATTGATCATGAACAGATAACATTAACTTCCATTCTTAGTTCTCTGAACAAGAGCTTAAATAAATCTATTTAATGTTTTTTATCATACATTCCTAGAAAGCACTCATAACTACAATGGTAAATCTACTGAGGAGTGGAAGGAAGTATTTTAGGGAGAGCAGGAGACAGCAAATTATAAATATCCAGTAACACAACTCATCTGTTGTTTGTGCTGTCACAACTTCTTGCCAAAAAACCCAAATGCTTATCATATTTCGTCTCCATCTCTTCCTCTAACCGTCCTGCAACGTAACTGGATCAGATCAGAACTCTGGCCAGTTAGCATTGCTTCGGCAGAGATGGCAGCAGAAGGCTAAATAAGCGTTTAGAACAGGGTATTGAGGTATTTCTTCAGAAAGGAATCCCCCCAGGTTCCAGCAGCTGCCCCCCCGCGGGTTCCCACAGCACAGGCCCTGCCGCCCCGCGCATGCGCTCGCCACCGCCCCGCGCATGCGCCCGCCGCCGCCCCGCCTGCCCGGCGGTGTCGTCCCTCAGCGCGGCGGTGTCGCCATGGATGGGGCCCGGGGGTTTTTGCTGGTCCTGCTGCTGCCGCCGCTGGCAGCCGGGACCCCTGCGATCCCGCTAGGCACCCCGCCCGGTACCGCTGACACCCCCGGCACCGCGCCCGCCACCACCCCCGGCACCCCCCTCGGTACCAACGGCTTCTCCCGCCCCTCCGGCGGCGGCAGGTGGGCGGGGGACGGGCGGGCGCTGTGGAGGCCCGGGCAGAGCGGGGCCTGGCGGGACTGTGGGGAGGCTGTTGGCGGCAGAACCAGGGAGTCGTATCTCGGGGAAAAAGGGACTTTAATACGCGATGGAGGGCAGCGAATCGGTCGCGCACTGCGGGGTGCTGTCAGGGGGGCGGCGGCTTCAGCTGTTTGGAGAGTAAAATCTGCGAGTGAAGCCTGTCTTCAGGCTGCAGTGTGAGGGGGACCGGGAGGAGCAGCAATACACAGACACTGGGTTTCTTCACCGCTTTTTGTTCCAGGGAATTTCGGCGTGATTTCTAAATATATAGAGTATCCACAAAGTTGCTGCAACGATGAGAGAGGCTTTCTGTAATCGCTTATCAATGCAAATTGTACAATAACTCATGTAAGCTAATGAAAAGTAATAACAGTGTTGCTGGCATTTAGTAATGTCAAATATGAAATTATGCAAGAATAGCATCTTTAACATTTTAATGGGGGGACTGGGGCTTGTCTTCGCAGGTCTGTGAGCCGAGTGTGTGTGGAACACTCGCTGGTGTTTAGGAGTAACACCCCGTACCCCACTGATACCATTGCTGTCCCTGGTGGGCATGATCTCTTCTGTGTGCAGCTGGATGATTGTGAGTAACCTTTCTTTCCACACATTTCATTGGTAGATTGCCTCCTCTCAGTGAGTCTCTTTTTTTAAACTTGCATGTTACAATTGTTACTAATTGGGACGTTTAGATGCGGTACTGAGTGATATGGTGTAGGGGAGGAATATGTAGAGTAGGGTCGATGGTTGGACTCGATGATCCCAAAGGTCTCTTCCAACCTGAACGATTCTATGATTCTAATTTTCGGCTATTATAGTTCCAGAGAGACCATAGTGAATCAGAGTCCCTTCGCCAAAGACAAAAAAATGATCATTGCACTTAGTTTAAGGGTTGGGTCTGCCTAAACAGAAATCAGCCTTTATCAATTGCTTCTGTATCTACACTTGGAGCAGCAAATAAGGGTTGATGTTTGAAATATACCCTATTATCCTTTTCAGAAAGTGATTTCTTCTCATATCTTGGATTCTTTATTTCATATGCTTATTTTCAAACTTTCTTCTCTGCTGGCAATGATTTTTCTCTAGTAATCATTTACCCTTATTGGGTATGCCATTAACGCTTTCTTCTCTTTCTGCTTTCCACATTGCACTTCATTTGATGTCCAGCTCTGGCATTCATTGCAATTCATGAGGGTCTCACATTTGAAGGCTTAACATTTTCTCTTTTGAGTCTTTTGCCTGCGAGTTTTGACCCTCGGTCCCATCTATGTCTGATCTGAATCATAGAACATTTTAGACTGGAGGGGGCCTCAGGGGGTTAACTGATCAAAACAGGGTTAACTTCCTATTATCTAGTCCTACTTTCATCTCTTTACAGATATTCCCTGAATGTTTTGCATACAGGGAAGAGCAAAGAAACAGTCAGAGCCTCACAGTACATAGTGTGATAAGTAATAGTGCTAGAACTTCACCCATTGCAATTTTCAGTAAGTCTCAGAGTAAAGATATATTTCAGTGGGACCACACCTGAAAGTGCCATCAGGCTTCTGGGTATTCCAGTCTGTAACTTGGAAGTAGCTAAATTTTATCCTTTTCCCACACCACCCATAGTATCATAAAAATAGGATTAGAAAGATTCTGAATTTGTAATCTCATCCCAAAGAAGGATCATCTGTGTCCAGACTGATGGTACCAGATTTCTCTGGCCATTTAATATTTAGGCCCCATATCTAGCACGTGATTAGGCCCAATGAATAAGCCCTAGACATGTGCATTAGGTGTAGCACACCAGGGAATTACAGAATTCACTCTCACATGGCCTTTTCCTTTTCTGTGCTGCTTCTTGCAAGAATGTCTGGGAAAGACTTTATTTGGAATCACCTAAAGGATGATAAAGTTTTCTGGTAGAAACAGCCACCTTGCCATTGGCCTTCCCCAAGGAAATATAGAAATACATACGTTCTCATCAACTGATTGTGGAAGGCTTTCCAGGATGAATGGTGACATGAGATACCATTGCCAGAAACATAATCAAGCCAGCTCCACAGGGCCTCCTGGAAAAGCCAACTTGGGAGCAGACTCTGAACCTAATGAATTATCATGGCCAGTAACAAAGAGATTGTGATGCACAAGTTTCCTTTTGACCTGTCACTTGTTAATCAGGAGAAGAAACTGACTTCCCCCTTGCTACAACCTCCTTTCAGGGAGTTGTAGAAAGCAAATCCTATTTCATATTGCTTTTAGTGAACTCACATATCAGTAGTGTTTTGTCATTAAAATATTGTCTAATTTGGGCATCTTACAGAACTTAGAGCACATATTAAGATAGTTGGCTTCAGCCATTTTCATGCTTTTTGGATAGTCCTGTTTGTGTATTAACACCCGTTTCCCATGAAACAGTATAAGCTGCTCATGATATCATCCTGTTCATATTTCATATTAGCCTGTTAGCAGTGTTTCTATGGATTAACTCATATAAGGCACTGTCTAGCTTATAATTACTCAAGTTGTTCCCTTTAAAAATACTGGCACAGTATACTTCAATCTGTCTTTTCTAGTAATTTGATATTGGCAGATTTTTGTTTTCTCTTTTCAACCTTTAGCAAAGCTAAACTATTTCCGACAGCCACAGGACATCAAAGAATCTCATTTTTTGAAGTTCTTAGAGAAATATGGCAGACACTCTTTCTTAGCACCATCACAAGTCCAGCCATCAGTCTCTGCCTTTTACCGGGTGAGTTGAAAGAAAATAGCAATTGGTTTACAGATACGTTTTTACTAAACGTGTCTGTAATGAGATTGAATTAAAACAGATTAAAAGATTCTTACTTTTCTACCTGTAGTCCATATTATCTCTCAGTTCTTTCATTCCTTATTGTGTAAAAAGTTTCTGATTAGTTTTCTTGTATTTAAATTTGGACAACCCTTTAGACAAAACTGGGTGTACATTAAGGAGAAGCATAAATTTGCCTCTATGCCCTGATGAAGTCATCACCTTGTCCTTAGTATTCCAGTCACTTTGTGATGTCGCCAAATTTTCCTTTCAGGCTGGTGATCCAATTCTAATCTACTTTAATTCATCATCTGTACTGAGCACGCTGAGACAGCCGGTAAAAATGGGAGCTAGTGGACTTTGCGTTGATGGAAATCCTGCTGGTTAGTAAAGGGGGAAGAATTTCTTAGGGTGGTTTGCTTCTGTTTTATCTGTTGTCCTATCTTAACTCAGGCTTTCTGGACAGCAAAAGCACAAGCTGTACTCGGATTTTTGCCAACTTGAGCAAGAGCTGCTCTACTGACCCTGCCCTAGATGCTGCCTCCTACTACCGTGACTTCACTGTGCTAAAGGTGCATGTCATATTTTTTCCTTTTGCTCAACATCTTATTTGCTTGACTTTCCGTTGTAACTTCAGCTAAATGGAAAACTAAAGGTCATCTGGTATTCTATCCCTGATCTCCCGATTGTTAAGGCCTTCTTGTGGGAAATCCTGTTAAAAATTTCAAGGTCAGTGATAATCCCTCAACTGAAACTATTTTCCAATAAATTTCAGTTATTAGCAAATTCCTAATGCATTTAACAGGTACTTTGTTCATACTTCCGAGTTTTAATGGTTTAACTAGAAGTCTGGCATTTTAAATAGACGTTTATCAAAGTGTTTGTATCTGTTCATCAACTTGATCAACCAAGGGATGTGTGTTCTTAGTAAAGAATAAGGATTTGCTTTGTACAATGTGTTATCTCTAAAATCATGTGCCAGTTATCTATATTAGCTTTATTTACATTCATAGATTGAATTCCATGTCAATTTCTCCATTATTTATCTTGACAATAATTTCAAAATGACTGATTTATCATTCTGGGCTCATCACGCTGGTCTTGCTGAATGTTAACATGAAAATATCTCCTCTTGCCTTCTAGAGTTTCTCTGGTGTTACAAGATAAAACAGCAGTGTAAATATTAACACCTCATTAAGGCTGATGACTCGGTTTACCCTTATATTGGACATCTAAATCTACATAACTGTAGTAGGGAATTTTCTATTGATTAAATTTAACTTGTGTTTTCAGGGCTTTTTTTGTCACTGTGGCCAAAATGTAATTTTTCCTTAAATGGAAGCTGAAGTAATTACTTGGTTCTCAAAGGGGGAGCTCCAGGAATGGATCAAAGATGCTGATAGTTTAAAGGATCTGCATCCTGCAAGTCATTAGCAAAGCCAAGAACGAAGTTTGTCATCTGATATTTTAAAAATGCTTCCTGTGGGTTATGGCTGTGATTTCTAGATCACAAATTAATGACAAGTTTTACACATCTGGAATAAACAAATGTGATGGTTTCATGTCTCTAGGTACTTGCAAACCCAGAAAATCAATTGGTTTTTTGGTGTTTTATGTTGGTTTGTTTGTTTTCCCCAGGTCCCAGTCAATGACATCATTGTGCAGTCCATGCAGGTCAGTCTCTATTGTCAATGAAAATATTATCTGCTTCTGAAATAAAATATCTGGAATCTTAGGCATTCATAGTAATACCTATGGGTTGGGAACTTGGGGGAATGGGAACATTCTGTGTCTGAGACAAGATTTTTTTAAACAAGTGTGACATAGAAAATAAAACAGGGATTTAAGGAAGATGTACTTTTAAATGAACAGGGCTGCAGTCAGGGAGGTAGCTTGCTCTTTTAGAAAAAGAATTGGCATCTGGAGCAGGATGATGTGTCCACAGATCACAGCTACAGCAGGAAGGTAAACTGACTTGGGTGGAAAAGCAGTGGAAAAAAGTAAGAAGGCACACTACTTTTAAAGAATTGCTAATTGTTGATGTGCTTACTGTCTCCAGGTGAAGGTCAGTGCAGTTGCACCACCTGGAGCTCCCCACATGGAACACAATACATGTATCAATGTTGTTTCTGAGGTACCTGAACCTTCTTTCCATTGGGCAGCTCAGCACTAGCTTAAAGTCATTGCCCTATTACCTGACTCCGCCTCTGACTCTTCTCTGAATTGGACTTCCAGGTGATATATGAGATAGAATTCAGTGGCACACGTGGGATTCAGAGTGTTTCTGTCCGGTTCAAAGTGAGCAACGTCTCTGGGAACTCAGGATCCTCTTTGCAGCAGCACTTTACTTTGCACTTCTGGGTCAGTGCCCCTGTCCTCTCTAGGCTTTTGCTGAGTTTGTAGTCTGTCGTTTGTGACCAGATTTGCACAGATGAGATGTGAAAAAATTAGAGCAGTGTCACTGTGGTTTGGTAGTGCCAGAACCCTGGGACACAGCTGATGGTCGAAGGAAGGAGGGGACACTGCTCTGTGCTCCAATAGACGGTGTTAGTAGAAAAATTGAGGCTCCGTGCAAGCATGTAGTCTGCACAAGTTTGTAAGGCTTCATTATTTTTATGTGACTATTTGCTGTTGTTTTAATTTGGTTTGGGTTTTTTTTTTTTTTT